TCGATGAGATTTCAGCAAAAAAATCTAACTATAATAAGGTCAAGTTCCAGTCGATACTGTTAATTTTTATCGTTCTTCATACCAAAGTAGGTCCTTGGTGATGGTCTGACGAATTTCGGCGATGAATCTTCGCTGCTTAACAACGAAAGGCTGAATATCTCAAGGTTGGATTACTGGTAATGTTGGAGATGAAGATGGTGGCTTTTTATTTTAGAAGAAAAGTGAAGGATAAAGTTCTCACGTTTGCTTAATGTATCCCTAAATTAGGCTCCGTATCCTCTTGTTTAATTAAAGACACAGTTACAAGATTTAGAGCAATTACAGTTTCATGGAATAATTATCCCATGAACCAAATGAGGTAATGAATATTACCACATCAGTAATAGCCATTACAATAAGGATATATTCAGATATTTTCTGCCAACCAAATAGGCTGTTAATTACCTAGGTTTATCCCAGTACGCGTGTCCTTGTTAGCAGAAGTGGGTGATAGAGTTTATAGATGTTCGAAAAAGGAGCCTGCAGATTGTAGTGGACTCGACTTGTAGGTTTGTTCGTGTATTCACAGAATCCAACTTCGACAGTACACAAGGTGTTTGATGGTTTGCCTTGATGTGTTGAAAGGACTTGCTTTTGGTTCAATACTCCTACTTCATCTGCCAATATACGATTCATCTCCTATGCGTTCTTCTTTAACTTAAAAATTCTGCTGCTATATGCCTCGGCAACTATGGGGTTTTCATCAGATGATGTGAGCTAAATAGCCACTTCAGTTATTAAATTTATGTTGGCCCTTGATATATATATATATATTGTTCAACTGCTGGAAAGATAGTTAACACCTTATCTTTTTATCGTTCAGCTCCATGAAGCTTGTAAGTCTCTATATTCGTCCTACCAAGGAAAAAAGGTTTCTGTATTAAACTTCTATAGGAAGTTAGTAACATTTGTGTTTTTGCAGACGTGCCTTAGCAAAGGTGGCAGCTTTCAGTTCCCACCATGTCATATGGTTAATATATGTGGATTTAGGATCTTGCTTGATTGCCCAGTGGATCTTTCAGCTCTAACGATCTTCTCTCCTGTCCCTACTTGTTTTGACTCTCCTGCTGACAAAGGAACTTCTGATTGTCCTATATATACATCATTGGATACTGAAGCTGTATCTCAGAAAAGGGAGAAAATTGAAAATCCACTTGATGCAAGTAATTTAATACAGGCAGAACCCTGGTTCAAAACTGTAAAGAGTTTGCACTTGTGGGATGTTTCCTTCATTGATATTGTGTTAATCTCAAGTCCAATGGGAATGCTCGGGTTGCCCTTTCTCACTAAAAACAAAGGCTTTTCTGCCAAGGTAATTAGAAGTAGGTACTTCTTGTTTGGTGCTCAATGTTCATTTCTTAACTTGAAAATTTGATACTGTGAAAATATATATCATGATTTTTGGCTCTTAACTTGGTCAGATCTATGTGACTGAAGCAACAGCAAAAATTGCACAGCTTATGATGGAAGATCTCATTTCAATGCACATGGAATATAGACAGTTATATGGAAATGAGGAATCTGGTTACCCTCAGTGGATGAATTGGGAAGAACTTGAGAGACTTCCATCTGCAATTAGGGAGATAGCTCTTGGCAATGACATCGAGGATCTGGGCTGTTGGATGCCCTTATACAGGTACTTTTGCTTCGCTTTTTAAATACATTCTTCTTTGGTTTGTATATAAAAAGTTTCAATTTCCTTGTTTGTGGACCTTCTAGTTTTTTTTTTTATCTCAGATATGCTGGATGGAGTTTTTGTATTTCTCTTAATATTAATGGAAACTCCTATTAACTATAGCTATAGCAACTTTATTGTTATTTTAAAAAAAAAGCTATAGCAACTTTATTGAAATACTGGAATCACATTTTCTGATGTTCAGGAAACTGTTGGGCATAAATGAGCTCATGTTTTATCTGATCGCATTTTTTCTCTTACTTATTCCTTTTCTTCTCAGTGTTGATGATGTGCAGAGTTGCTTGAGGAAAGTACAAACACTTAAATATGCTGAAGAAGCTTGCTATAATGGGATATTGATCATAAAGGCATTCAGCTCTGGTTTAGAAGTCGGCTCATGCAATTGGACAATAAATAGCCCAAAAAGAAATATCACTTGTATATCAGGCTCCATCTTTGTTTCTCCTCATGCAATGGATTTTGACTTTCATGCTCTTCGTGGGAATGATCTGATCCTATATTCAGATTTCTCTCCCCTTTACACCAGTGAAGATCTTGAGTGTGGTAGCAATTGCTCTATTGCAATTACAAACAATTTTTCAACTCTGAGGTATGCTCTATGCATATATTGTTAGTGTTATTAAGGTGAAAAATTGCCTCTATGAAACTTGTGCAGTTAAGGAAAGCCAGTCATATATTCTGTTTATGTAATGAAAATGTCTTTTTAGAATGTCGCAATTGAATACATATTTTCTTAATCTTTTTCGTTATGGTGCAGTGGTGATAACAATTGGGAAGAATTGGCTGCATCTTTACTTGACCAAAATGAGAGTTTGGAGGAAATGGAGAAGCTAGCTTTTATATGCTCTTGTGCTATAGATTCCATTAAAGCTGGTGGTTCTGTTCTTGTAACCATTAGTCGGCTTGGTATTACTCTGCAGCTCTTGGAGATGATGGCTGTTTTCCTGGAGTCTTCGTCTCTAAATGTATGTTATGGATTCCATGTCTTCCCTCTTACCTGTCTACTCCACACCAGTTCTTTTTGGTTACTTAATGAAAATGTAAGAGCCCATGAGTGTTTTATTGCAAGCATAGGGGTGTCCATATTCCAGTCAACACTGAAAAATTGGAAACCCAAAATATGAACCAAAAAAATACATTGGGTTCTTTTAAGTCAGGTCCTTGATCTGTACCCCATCCCTTATTTGATCCTCGGTCTCGTCCGGTCCGGTTTTGTTTTGGGCTGATGAACACCCCTAGCAAGCAACTAATATTATCAGAGGTCCATTGTGGTAATGATTCTTTGTATAGGAAGAAATTATGTGCAGAAGCATTATAGTGTAGATGTATGGATAGTACCTTTGAATCATATGCTATATATCGATGCTGCAGGTTCCCATATATGTTATTTCTTCTGTGGCAGAAGAGTTATTGGCTTATGCTAACTCGATACCAGAGTGGCTATGCAAGCAGCGGCAAGAGAAGGTATGTTTCCATCAGATATCAATACATTAACAATCCTTGTTATCTAATACGCATCAGCTCATGCCACTATTACCTTGCTAAATGACATTTGAAAAGAAAATATGTCATAATTTCACTGTTTATTGGTGTTACAGCTGTTTTCTGGTGAGGCATTGTTTGCACATGTTGAACTCATAAGAGGGAAGAGGGTTCATTTGTTTCCTACAATTCATTCACCTACATTACTGTAAGACATTCTCGGCTTTTCTTCTTCTTAGACTATCTCTAGCTTGTGGTTGACTCTTGTTTTTCTTTTTTTCTTTTGAAACATAAATTGGTTTTTGCTCTACATTGGTTAACTGCCAGGACTTGATCTGCATTGGTTTTTGCTGATTACTACCTTTTGGTGTCTACATAGCTGAGTAATTTTCTTTCTGGATACCTTTTAGCAGGTTATTAGGCTTATTGGTTTCTCTTTTGGATGCATAATCTTGCTTGTGCATTTTTTTGTTGGTTCTGCTAGTCTGTGTTAGTACTTCTCACAGTTCAAAATGCAGGTTTTATTTAGTTTTCTTCAAGATCCTTGTGGTATTTAAAATGTGCTATTCTTTGTGATGTAGGAAAAAAAAGAGATTTAACACAATATTCAGGAAAAATTTATGAAGAACCAAAACTGAAGATATTGGGTCACGATAATCAAATTAATAAGTCAATATTTATATGATAATCATATGAATAGCTTAACCAATATAAGTTACAGTATGCTATTTATAGTTACTAGAGAGCAATCAAAACCAGAATTCTTAATAATAGACTTGCACCAATAGTAGCTATAAAAGTACTAATTTCTAGATAAGCTGAATACCTTAATACTACATGTACAATACAATTACATACATAAATCTTATTAATGAATTGATGAGAACTCAACGTCTGAGTTTTTGAAATATCAAAGTAGAAAAAATATAAAGAGGTTTCTCTTCCTAGTGATTGAAACTCACGAAACTTGATATTTTCATTAGAAAATAAGAATGCTTTCAAAAATAGTGGATTTCAGTGTAGCAATGGATCAATTAGGCATAACAAATTCTACAAATAGAAGAATCACCAAACTCTAGTTATCAATCTCTGTTGCAATTTTTTTCTTTTTGTAGTTTCTTTGAGCTTCTTTCTTCTTCATGGTGTTCATAACAACTATAATGTTCTCTAAATGAACGATGTCATTTCTTGCTAGTAAATCTTAAAATCCATTACGAAATAGCTCAACTTGATCAAATTGAACCATAACACTTTCTGCAATCTCGTTTACCATCTCAATTTTCCAACTTGCATTCATACCTTTGAGATCATTACTTAATTTATGGATTAATTAAGTTGTAGCACTTCTATAAAATTTTGCTCTCTCCCGTTTATTCACATTCTCTTTCTTTATTTTTTAACCATATTTTATTTAAGTTTCAAATATGGTAGAGCAAGCTCTCTCTCTCTAAAATCTTCTCTCTTGTTGCACCCATAACCTTTTTCGCTGAAGCTTATTTATCCATCCAAGAATCCTCATATCATCCCAGTGCATACTGGAAAACCCATGGCTACTAATTTGTTATTGAAGAATGCCAAAAGATTTGTTCTTATTGGTAGCAAATCCTATGACATTAGTGTGATAAAAAGAACCTTGATGGTATTCGAATAAGTGAAAAACAGGTAATAGAGTTTCCATCACACTAAGCAAAGAAGAAGTCAAATGGATTATCGCAACACTGTGCGATTTCTATTGGCATAAAGGTGGTAAATCTTGGGGCAAAAACATGAAAAGCCAACACCACCACCTTTTCTTCGTCATGATTTGGAATCGAAGGGGCAGATGCCTGGTACTGTCAGAGGAAAGAGACAAAACAGTCAAAAGAATTTTCATTCCTGATGGTTTTGAGGCTAGTGGCTAGTGGCGCTTCTTGAAGGCGATTTTTAACCTTACAGAAACTCCTTTGATGAATCCCTTTAAAAAATCGGGGGTCTCTAAAAGTCTCCTAGTTCGGCTAGCTCTAGAAATTTCTACACACAATCCGGGGAGCCTCTGTTGCCCAAATTGCAATCATTGTCTCCATATCGCCCTGTCGTCAGCAGAGGAAAGATCTCACGCAACGGCTCTGAAAAACCCTAGATTGACTCTAGCCTGGGTATGCGAGCCCCTACCCGACCCGGTGATTTCTAACCCAGGATTTAAATTTAATCCTGGCCATAGTCAGCTTCATTTATGCTAACAGATTCGAGCCGCTTAGCAAGTTGGCTCAAAGGACAGTGACGCAAGTGGACCCAAAGATCAACATAAAAGGCCTAGGCTCACTTGGGCTGAGAAAGGCAAATGGACAAATCAGACGGGCCCAAGCAAAGTGATTAAGAAGAAAAACAGCCCAAGAAAAAAAGCCTAAAAAGTTAAATTGCTATGGAGACAAAAAGAGGACATGAGCCCGACCTATGAGAGAGTTCAGAATGTGCTGCTACAGTCTATTACCTCTTACGACCAAACGCTTACTTCAATCGAGGGTTCTGCTCGGGACAGCAATAGCACTCATACTGGTGTGATGGAGCACGATATGACAGCTTTAGCAATTTTTTCTGTAAATGATTTGTCTTCAGAAATGATTTCTCCTTCTAACCCTACCATGTGTCTAGCTGAAGAATTTTTTTCTGATTCGGCCTTAGACCTGATGGTCTTACCTTCGGAACCTGAGCAGTTATCAATCAGTAATGTTCAAATTGACAAAGGGAATGAATTGATTGAGATAATAGCATCAGTGGATCGGATTCTCAAGGACAATCAAACATATGACCCTCAACTCTATTATGAGTGGATCCTTCAAAATATTTTTTGTATCAGCAAACTTCTGGGTTCTTCTTTTCTCGGGTTTGAGTTGGAAACGAAATCCCTTTTCCTAGAACTTGAGGAAAGGTTAAATGATAGTAGAAAAGTCTCCCTGATTGATTTCGAACTCGAGCAAGAAAAAGCAATCCAATGAAGGTTCAAGGGAACTTAAGAGGCTCCAATATTCCATAAACTATGAGGGCCGAAACAGTAAGAGTAAAGGAGCAGGGAATCATCAAAAACTATGTAAATGTTTAACAAAATACTATTATGGAGTGTCAGGGGCCTTAATGACGAGAGAAAAAGAGGTACCATTAGGGGATGCATCAACACATAGAAACCGTTAATCATCTGCTTCAAGAAACAAAAATGGAAACAATCTCATAAAAGATCATCAATAGCCTATGGCAGAGTGATGACATTGGGTGGTGCTTTCTTCCTGCTAAGGGTTTTGCTGGGGGTGTTCTAATTATGTGGAGGAAAGATAGAGTGAGATGCCAAAATACTTATATCAGTGATTGGTTCTTTTTGGGTGTATACTACAGAGGAAATTCCAATGAACACACTTTGTTGGGGAATGAACTCGAGTACATCAAGAATATTTGGGGTAATAGAGGCATCGTGGGGGGGGGGGGGGGGGGAGATTTTAATATGATTCTGAACATATCTGAACAAACTGGTAGTGGCTCAAATGATTCCGAAATTGAAGATTTATGGTCTCTTATCGACATACTTGATCTTAATGATTTACCATTAAATGGGGATAGGTGGACATGGAGTAACCAGAGGGAGCAAGCTTCTTTCTCTAGAATTGACAGTTTTTTTAATTACATCCGATTTGTTGTTAGTCACCCTAGATATCAGTCAAAAAATTTTGTCTAGGCCCACTTCTGATCACATCCCTATCCTTATGGTGTCAGATGACATTTAATGGGGCCCTATCCCCTTTCGTCTTGACAACAAGTGGTTGTAGCTCGACAACTTCAAATCTATGGTGACAAATTGTTGGAACTCCTCGCAGGTAAGTGGCCCCACTAGTTACAAACTTGCATATAAATTAAAAAGGCTGAAACAATAGATTAAAACTTGGGCTAAAGTCACGAGTAAGAAAGAAGAAGAATATGTTAATGACATTCTGTAGGAGATTGATTTGCTTGATAAGAAGGAAGAAACTTCTGTGCTTTCCCAAGTTGTCAAGGGAAAGAGGAATGAGCTCAAGATTGATTTGGCTAAACGTTTCCAGATGGAAGCCACCTTTTAGAAGCAAAAGTTCAGGGAAAAATGGATCAAAGAGGGTGATAAAAATTCTAAATATTTTCATTTGTTAGCTCACCACAAAAGACGGGTTAATTTTGTGGAAGAACTCATCATTGGCGACAATTGTATCAATGGCAATGTGGCTTTGAGGGAGCGGGCATGAGTTCACTTCCAAAATCTGTATTATGAAGATTTATGTTACAAACCCAAGCTTGATAACCTTAATTTTAGCAGGCTCGGTGACAGGAATAGAGCTCGATTGGAAGAAAAATTAACGGAAACTGAAAACACTGATTGTCTTAGGGATTGCGATGGTGATAAGGCACCCGGGCCAGACGGTTTTAACTTCAAATTCCGCCAAACTTTCTGGGGTGTCATCAAATATGACATCATCGAGTTTTTCAATGATTTCCACAATCACAGCTCATTTGTAAGGTCTTTAAACTCAATTTTTCTTGTTATGATTCCCAAGAAATGCAATCCCAAGCACATAAATGATTTCCGGCCGATTAGCCTTGTTGGATGTATTTACAAATTACTCTCCAAAGTTCTGGTTGAACGCTTGTCCAAAGTTCTAAATCAAATCATTGGCAATTGCCAACATGCCTTTGTTTATGGCTGTCAAATCTGCGATGCTATATTAATTGCTAACGAGACTTTGATGAGGTTCTCAGACACAACAAGACTGCCACTTTATGTAAACTTGGCATGGAAAAAGCTTTCGATCATGTTAACTGGAACTTCATAGATTACATGCTCGGCAGAATGGGTTTTGGAGATAAATGGAGAAGCTGGGTCAAAACTTGTATTTCTACAACAAGTTTTGCTGTCATTATAAATGGTGGCCCCCCATCCTTCTTCAAGGCCACTAGGGGGCTAAGGCAAGGAGATCCACTCTCTCCTTTACTATTTATTATTGTGATGGAGGTTCTCAACAAGATTCTGGAAAAGGCGAAAGAATTACAACTCCTAAGGGGTGTCCCCGTGGGAAGCAATGGAAATCTGATTGAAATATCTCATTTCTTTTTTGCCAATGATACACTCATTTTCTGTCAACCGGAGATGCGTTCCATGATGTTTTTGAGATGCATTCTTCTTTGTTTTCAAGCTGTATTGGGTCTCTGTATTAACATGCATAAATCAGAATTGATATTGCTGGGTGCGTCAAATTCTAACAACTCTCTAGTGCAGGTATTTGGTGGTAAAAAATCCAACCTCCCAATCTCTTATCTTGGGGTCCCCTTGGGCAAAGCATAATGATACCAGAAGCTGGGATCCTGTCATTGAAACGTGTCATAACAGATTAGCAAATTTGAAAAGAAAATTTCTATCTAAAGGTGGCCGGTTGACTCATTAAAAGTAAACTTTCTAATCTCCCTATTTACTATTTATCCGTGCTCAATATTCCTTCTAAAGTAGCTAAGAGATTGGAAACAATTCAATGCAATTTCTTATGGGGTGACAGAGATAATAGCAAGAAATTCCACCTTCTTAACTGGAATGAGGTCAAGAATCCTATCAAAGATGGAGGGCTGGGGCTGTGTTCATTGGTTAATCTAAACAAGGCTCTTCTTGGAAGATGGATTTGGAGATTTTGGAATGAGGAAAACAGTTTGTGGAAAAGAGTCATCAGCTGTAAATGGTTTAAAGGCAATCCACATGATTTCTCTCTAATCAGAAAATTCAACTACGGGTTGAGTCTGGGGAAAAATATAATGAAACTTAGTGACAGCGTTCTTCAATGCTCTAAATGGATTCTGGGCGATGGCAATAAAATTCGGTTTTGGGATGATGTTTGGTGTGGTAATGAGACTCTTCTTGCAAAATTCCCGCACATCCATGCTATTGCAAGGAACAAAGAATGTCGTATCTATGATGTGTCCAGCCCTGATTGCCTGGGTCTGTGGAATATTTTTATTACAAGGAACCTTCAGGATTGGGAGGTGGAGGAATACGATGCATTGCTTCTCACTTTGTCCAACATTTAACTTTCAAATCATGATGATAAGTTAAGCTGGAAACTGAGTAAAAATGGCCTGTTTTCTGTAAAAACTTTCTACCTTTACATAAGGGGTTCATACACTAATAGACAGCAGGTTTTCCCATCAAAATAAATCTGGAATTCAGGAGGTCCACCTAGAATTTCTTTTTTTGCCTGGGAGGCTGCCAAAGGAAGGATTCTTACTCTTGACAATTTGATGAAAAAGGCATTGCCACAGTGAACAGATGCTTCCACTGCGAAAATGGACTTGAAACTTGTAACCATCTTCTCCTTGGCTGTCATACATCTCACAAATTACAGTCCATGGTTCTTGGTCTTCTTGGTTTATCTTGTGTTATGGCTGGCACTACTATTGCTGAATTGTTGGCTTGGGAAGGCGTTGGTTGCCCGAAAAAAGCTATCGGCATCATCCCTCTCACTATCTTTTGGGTTATTTGGAATATCCGCATCATCGTCTTTGATGTGAAAGAAAAATGTTTATTGAAGTCAAGAACAATTGTCCAACCTATCCTTAGAAGGACCTAAAAGAATAAGAAATAGAAGTTAAGAAACCCAAAAAATGACGGAGTTTTGGCTCAAATTTGGCTTGAAAACAACTTAGCTCAATATTTTACTTAGTTCCAAAAAAGAGCCTTCTCGTCTGACATTTTGTAGGGATAAGTAATACAGGAATACGAGAATCTATTTATTTTTCTTTTGTGCTATATATATAGAATATATATATATATTTCTTTTTTATTTTTGTTTTTCTAGTAAAACTAATATAAAAGAGACCCAGCTCCAGAAAACAACTTGGCCCAGAAACAACTGGGACTCAAAAAACAGCTTAGTGCAAAATGGCTTGGCTAAGCAATAGCTTGAACTAAATCCA